ATGCTGTCAATCTTTGTTATACTTATTCAAGAAATTTAAAATAAGCAAAATTGCATGTGTAAAAATATTTGCTTTTTATGTGTGAAGTTTCATTTTGTGCAGAATTTTCTAATGAATGAAAAGTTGTGCTAATTTCCATGGAATTTAGGAAAATAAATGTCCTTTAACTTCTTTCTTATGCTTCAGAAATTCTATCTACAAATTCAATTTGTTTTTTATTTAAACAACATATGATACATATTAGCATATGCAACACAAACAAAATGATTTTTGTAATTTGATTCCTGATTCTGTGGTTGGTTTATTCCATAATTGAAGTAGTACAGTGATAAACAAGGCAGGCCAACAAGTTCCAGACAATAGAAGTCACATCGACAGCGATCAAATAAAAGAGGTAAGATGAAAGTCAAAAAAGAAAACATTCACCAAGGTTAAACATACTTCTTTGGTAAATATACTGGACGACAATGTTACTCTAGCTTATGTTGCTATTATTTTCTGTTGAAAATTTGAACTGCAGCTCTAGGGATTCCAAGCATATTGATTATGTTACTAGTTCAAATAGGACAGGAATCGTACATCAATGTTTCTTTTGCATTAAACTAGCATCAAAACCCTAGGAGCTAACTTCACAGTAAAGTATATAGACAATTTTTAGTGGAGTATTCAAACAAAGTAGAACAGACCATTTAACAATACATACAGAATTGGCAGTTTTTTCGTACATTGATTCATATTTTATAAAAAAAAAAAAGAAATTGTATAAACATGAACTAAACGAAGTCGAAAGAATTACTATCAAATCTAAATATCCGTTTAAGAAATACATACGAAGGAATATTAAAAGCGGAAAACTATCACTATAATCAATGTTGACGAAAACAGTAAGACCGTTTGTTAGAGCAGTATTCGTGCAGATGTTGTACATCTCTTTCCTGGTCTGGTTCAAATAAGGTTTTATGTCGAATAGTATTATATATTATAATACGCTTTTCAAGGCGTAATTCTGATTCAGGGGTAAGTTTAAATTCCAGGGGGAATTTTTTTCAAGGCGTAATTTTTTTGGGGCGTAGCTCATTTGCATTTTTCGACTCAAATGCCTGCTCAACGCCTCATGGTTTCATCTTGATTTTCTCCCTTAACCTGCATATCAGTATAAAACTCGTTAAAACTCGGTTATAAAGAAGTCACTGGGACCTATCCTCTCTTTCAGGAACATGTACCTTCATCGCTGTCGGATTGTTTCAAACAAGAAAATGGAACTTTGATTACGGAGTGCGTAACTGTTAAGGTAATTGATGTTCAAAGAGGAGAAAGTGGTAAGATCTTCGCTGCTGCTGCAATCTGCGATGCTACCCATGCCTGTATAGCCAAAGTTTATAACTCAAAAAATGTCACCATTATACAGCCAAATGCAGTTCTCATATTGGAAAACTTCTCTGTCAGAGACGGGTAAATACTTTCAGTTTATTTTCAATCTGGTGAATTCTCAAACAACCATCAATGTACACATGTACATGTATTTTTATTACATAATATTTTATATACTTTACATTTAATATTTACACTAAGATATATTCAGACAAAACTTTCATTAATTCAATTAATTATTTAAAATTTTCAGTGAGATCTCAATCACATACAGAACAAACGTATACAGTACAGCATTTCCACTGGAAATTCCAGATGATATCATGAATAAAGCATCATCTTCGTTGAGTGGTACAAATCATACAGATACAAATGCACATGTTGAGGCAAACCTTTTCTAATCCATAATGAAACTTTTCCCCCTTTATATCTGTGATTATGGATGTTGTAAATCAAAGGCTCTTAAACCTACATGTTTACTGAAGAAAACGCAGCCAAAGCAATCCGTTTTCCTTGAACTTCAAAAGCCTACAAAAAAATTGATGCCGTTTATATACCGACACGCAAAAGTAACGCAACTAGCAGTAATCTACAAATGTTTGATTTTTGTCAGAGATTTGATAAAAATCATAAATGTTTATCTGTTTACATTACAAAGTAAAATATGACTGTTAAAACACCCCTTCCCAGCCATTCAAGTAAAACGCGCAAGACTGCCCTGAACAACAATTGCAGCTTAATTTCTACGATACAATAGGTTAATTAATATCGAGATCTGAGCGAAGGAATTATCCTTTGACATTTTTAAATGCCCGTTTTTCAGATGATTAGGTCGAATTTTCTCTAATTTAGAGCAGTTTGGCCACTCTTGGACTTTCGGTACAAGGATGTCCTTAATGCATATGATACGTAAGACCCTGTTGAGGCTTAATGTAGTGAAAATTCGCATCAGCAACTCTACATCAACTTTACATTGAAATTTTCCAGCTAGAGCAATGGAAATGCGTACACAAACCATTTTCAAGTAGCCTTAGCATTGTTACGGGATGGGAAAGGAGAGCTTATTTTTTTTAAATATTGCTGCATTATTTATGATGAAAAGTAAAAAAAACCCTTAAAACTCCATAATATTGCCAAATTTTTTGTTAAACATGCAATTTTTGATTTCTGTTAAGCAGACTCAATCTTGACTTCCGGTTATGGTATGGAAATCGTTCAACCCTTAAATACCGATGTTTACCAAATTGAAGATATTCATTATTTTAAGATACAAAATTGTTTACTTTACATGTTTATTTCCCCCTAAAGTCGGGTGTTGCCTTTCTTTTGCGTGTCAGTATATAAGTCTTATATCAGATTCCCAATAAGTCATACAAACAAAAGGGATGTTATTTTGCTTGTTTATTATGGCGCTTCTGGCCGCGGTGATAAATTTGCTGGGATAACCACAGGGCTACCCCACAATCAATCAATACAACAAATGTTACGACCCAAATCGGGCGGATCATGCACTGGGTAAGTCACAAGTGCGTGAACGTCACCAATTCGATAATCAATTCTATTTCAATCAATAAATATTTAACGAATCAGTCAATCAATCAATTCAAATATCAATCAAGTCAAGTACTTGTCGATTAATCAAATATAAAACAATCAATCAATTCAAATATCAATTTCAAATCCTGCATTTCAATTTGTCACACATTTGAAATTTGATAAACAATGGAATGACCGTTGAAATATGTGTTGCATTCGTCCAATTGTGATGAGGTACGACGGAATACGCCACTTGCGTCAAGGGCCATGACTTCTCGTGTCTGCTACGAGTAAACATGGAACTGCAACCGCCACCAATGGGGTACCAAGAACAATGGTGACAACGGCAGTACCTCAACGCAAATAATCACCGTCGACTAGGGCCTGCTCATTCACCTATATAAACTTACATTGATTTCTTATATAAATAACCTAACTGTCACTGTCTGTTTTTATGGATTCTAACGGCTTTTAAATCATTAAAACACCTCAAAAAGTTTTCTTCATTGACAAAGTAATATAGAACTAAGAAAAAAATTAAATGTCTTTGCAAGTTTTGCTTAAAGCTGTCTTAAATAGTTTTGTACTGAAACAAACCCGAATGGCATACCAAATTTTGAAAAGGGAACGATACTAACATCATCTCTTAGCTTAAGGTACTGGGATACTTTTAAATACATGCATAACAATGTGTGTCCTCAAACACAGACCCCTTCCCGAACTCCTACCCTTTATACAGTCCCTGAAACGTTCTACTTTCCACCTGAACGGTGAACGAATGCTGAACGAACGGTGAACGAACGCAGAGCGAACGGTGCCTGAATGATGTTCGAACGCTAAACGCAACTTTGTGAACGAGGTGAACGGTGAGTGAACGCAGAACGCGAACGGAGCGCGAACGCGAGCACAAAGTGAACGCTGAACGAAAGGTGATCGCAAGATGAACGATTTATTCGGAATGCCTTTGGTCTTTTCTTGGCATTGAAATTATTTTTTTTATTCTATAATTCAACTGTCATAAATAAGTACAAATAAACAATAGATAAACAAAAGAGAAATAAATAGATAAATAAATAAATATATAATAAAAATAAAATTCAGCACATACGTATGTTCGAAATTTTAATAACATTATTTTAATCGCTGTCAAACGTGTATTTGTTGCCGCGTGTAGTTAAAAATTAAATAAATCGTATATAGTAAATAATTCTGCTTATTCTTTTAACTAATAAAATTATGTGAACTATAGAAGATGTAACTTCTACTGAAATAAACAATAGATAAATAAACAAATAAATAAATTCATTAATAAATAAATAAAAAAACTTTTTTTCTGCACATACCTTTGTTTAAATCGATATTTTAATAACGTAATTTTAATCGCCGTCAAACGTGTATTTGTTACCGCGTGTAGTTAAAAAATAAATTAATCTAATTATATAGTAATTAATTATGCTTATTCTTTTTATTTATAAAATAATGTGGATTTCTGAAGATAAAACTACTACTTATAGAATGAATTAATTACATTGTACGGGGTTGAAACTACAGTACATGTACTTCCGTGCCAAAGCGATTCTGAGTAAAATAACGGATTTTGTTTTTAAATTCACAATTATCTGTTGACATTGACTGTTATCGTACTGCATAAAAATTCTCGTTTAATTTAAATTCTGCTGCAAAATATTCTAGATGTATGTGCCTTTTTATTCTTTTATGACGATTATTTTAGCTAACTTCTTCATGTATTATATCTGTAGACATGTCCCGGCCGTGTAGCAACCTCTAATGATAAAACGCCGCTTAATGATACAAATAGCCAAATAGCATTAAATAGCCATAAATTATTGCATTAATAGCTGACATCATCAACCGCTAATGGTAAATCGCCGCTTGATGACAGAATTATATCATTAAGCATCACAAATGCAGTGCAACACCGACGCTTAATGAAACAAGCAAATATCGACATATTAGACGCTTAATGATACACACTAGTGTATCATTAAGCACTGCATTTGCAAGCCTTAATGATATAAAAATTAGAAATCGCTTGTTATATCTAAGAGAAACCTACATCCACCTTTCCTGAACAATGAGATATCACTTGTCAAAATATTTATATATGTCTTTGTGCTATGTAAATGGTAATTATTGAATTTTTACTGTGTTTTCTATCTAGTTAAGGGAATGTCATTAAGCACTGGATGTTTAAGAGACAGATAGTCAGATAAATAGAAGAAAGAGATACAAACAAAGGGATACATAAAATGATATTCAAATCCTTTTAAAAGAACCTTTTTTTACTGAAAATACAGAAGCAAACAAGCAATTAAATTCTTTTTAATTTGATACAATGATTTTAGTACTCAACCTCAAATATATAGAATATACATGTATTGAAATATTCCAAACTGTGTATTTTAGATTTTATACAGCTTAACACATGTCACTGTTAACGTTTCAGATATACGCATCGAGAAATAAATTTATAATTTTTACTATAATTGTATTTTTAATCTGATTCGTTTCTCCAAATTTCGATAAAGAGAGACATCAATATTGACAATTTATGTTTAAGTATATTAAAAACAAAGAATACAAATGAATGCAATACATTGAATAATATATTATTATGAAAAAAGGTTCATTCATCCATTATTTATTATCAATTTTACTTGAATACATTACAGTGGTATGATTATTTTAGAATCAATTTTGAAACCTAGTACATGTATATAATTATCAAATTACGAAAAACACCGTATTATACTCGGTCAAGATGTTGGCTAGAGGCATTCAAATAATTTGTAATTCATGGGTGGGTTAAATTTTCAAAATTAAATAAGTGATGTGTTGTCATAATTCTTATTGAACAGAGAAATGTACGAGAGAGAGAGAGAGAGAGAGAGAGAGAGAGAGAGAGAGAGAGAGAGAGAGAGAGAGAGATAACCCCTTCGATTCTCAGATATATGTTGTATCAAATAAAAATTCTTATTATTTTTCCTAAATATTCCAAGCAATAAAGGTAATCTTCTTTTTTAGATTGACAAATCCATTTTCAGTTTTCAGTTTTCATTGGCATTTGTTTTCCATCATCAAGTTCACACAGTTCACAGGAAGTCCGTGCTATATATGTAGTACTAGTAGCTTGCTTGTGCTGTCAATCAAAATAATTCGACACATTGGAGGTGTGGAAATCACGTTTCACCGAACATGCTGAAGGCAAAGAGTCACTTAGTATTCCAAGAAGTTTTAATATTTTTCCGTATCATTTCTAGATCTGATTTTGGAATTCCTGCAGAAAAAAAATAACTGGAATATATCTTGGAAGGATTAAGTTTTAAAATGAATATGAAACACATTCCCTGCCAGTTTAAAATACTACTGTCGGCACAAGTTTAAACTAAAATACTATTGTTCAAGGACTGTTTAATGTTGGTTTTAAGACTGATTTTCTTGTGTCACAATAAAAATTAAATATTAATCAAAATATACTGTAAAAAATCAATAGGAATATTATTTTGGGAGAAAAGGCACCGGGGAGGGGGGGGGGGATCTTTATTATACTGAATGGCAAAAAACATAGTTTTAAACATATGTTTAGACACAGTGAAGGAAGGAATTTTCCTTCTCGAATAATAGACTATTTTAAACAGTTGGTCTTTTCTAAAATTTAAAACCATAAATTTAATTATCTCTGAAGATATTTAATTAACTGAATATTTGCAGTACTGTTCATAATTTTCAAACCTACATGTAATTTAAATACGTGTTACTGTAGAAATAATTTTTTAATGTATTATTGAATATTATTGTCCTGTAAAAGACTTGGATTAATTATTATACATCCATTAATAATTTG